CTGATGATATATGGTGGATAATCAATGTAATGAAACAAGCTATATGAATGGTTGAATGTGAAGCTGATGATGTGCCCTGTAAACTTTCACTCAATGCAAAATAAAAACATTTAATTAAAAAATAAATAAATTGCTACAACTTGAAAAACAAAAAAGAAAACCTAACAGGCATTCATATCTCAATCTATTGACTTTCTACTTTGGATGGTGAAGATCTGTGTCTCTCTAATCAGTCCTGGTGTGGCACTGTAGGATAAGCACTAGAATGCTAACCGGAAGGTCGGCGGTTCAAGCACACCAGTCACTCCTTGGAAACCCTGTGAGTCAGAACTGACTCAATGGCACCTAACAACAACAATATTCTAATAGATGCACTGGTGGCACCATGGATTAAGCATTGGGCTGCTAACTGCAAGGTTGGCAACTCAAAGCCATCAGCCACTCCTCAGGGAAAAGAAGCAGGAGTTTGATTACATAAAGATTTACCTTCATGGGAACCCTCGGAGGCAGTTCTACTCTATGCTGTAAGGTCACTATGCTTCAGAATCGATTTGACGCATAGTGGTCATCAATAATTTCATACGAATGTGAACACTTACCAGGTATTTATTATTGCATATCAATGCACTTCTCACTTCCCAATAAGACCCTCTGGGGATTTTAATTGGAACTTCGACAAATATATACTTTGGGGGAGCACAGGCAGTTTTGTATCCACCTAATCTCTGTACCTGTTCAGATGCTGTTTTGTGTCTTTCAATGAGAGTTTCATTTCCCTCTGTGTCACGGTTCTAAACCTCAGCAGCATTTTAAAATCTACTCAGGAGTTTTTAAAAAACTCTCTGGCCCTAAAAAAAATAATAAAATCTTTCATGAATAGTCTCTAACAATCGTTGCTGTTGTTAGAGCTGTTGAGTCGGGTCTGAAGGTTTCCGAGGAACTGCTGATGAGTTTGAACAGTCAACCTTGCAGTTTAAACTGACCTTGAGGGACAGGGCTTATCTTACAATGCCACATTTATCCCTAGATATTTTATAGTTCTTTGATTTTGCAAATTAAATACATTTCATCTCCATTTTGAGGCATTTGTATGAGTGATTTGTTGTTGTTGTTGTCAGGTGCCATCGAAGCAACTGAATTTTAAAATATTTTTCACGTACTCAGTCATCTTGCCAGGGTTTCATATGAGTACAATGGAATTTCTCACAGGGTCTTTGGGGTTTTCTAGGCAGATTTCGGTAGGCATTTTTATCTGCCATTGTCTGTTCCATGTCCTTGTTGAGTGTCTGTTGCTTCACTCCTTTATTATCATTTTGGAGGGGATCAGAGAGAAGTTCTGTGTGCAACCTACAAAAAGTCTATGGTGTCCCTTTTGTTTTACACATTAGGCTCTGGGGGGATTTGTGTAGATTCAGTGTGTTCATTTTCAGCTGTTCTAGAATAGTCCACTGTTGTGACTGAACCAGTTTATCCATTACAGAGCCCTGGTAGCATGGTAGCTAAGCATTTGACTGCTAACCAAAAAGTCAGCAGTATACACGTGCCGGCTGCTCCAAGGGAGGAAGATACAGCAGTCTGCTCTCACCAGGATGACACCCTTGGAAACCCGAATGGGTAGATCTACTCTGCTCTTTAGGGTCACTGAGTCCGAATCGACTCAACGGCAACTTTGGAAATAAAACAAACACCCAGTGACAGCTTTGCCATACCGTCTAGGTCTGGGACCACACTGCTCTTTCAGGATCAGAACCAAGCTTGGTACATTAGGAGAGTGCTAAGTCTCCAGGACTCACCTGGAGTTTTGCTACTTCCTTTCTGATCAGGAAGCTGACTTGGTCCCGGTCATTCCTGGAGTAATAGAGACGGCACCAGGCAGGCTTCCCATCCCTGCCGGCCCGGCCCGACTCCTGGTAGTACCCTGCCATAGACTTGGCAATATTCCAGTGGGCGACGAACCTGTGGGAGCCAGGAGGACAAGCAGCCTAAGACAAGGCAGGAGCTCAGGAGGGGTGCTTCTACCTCACCCCTGAGGGGCCTTCTTCCAGAGCCCAGGAGCCAGGAGGCCAGCAATGGCAGGCAGAGACCCCAAGTAAGCATGGTCAGGGCAAGTGTGGCCCACTGGCAGGCCTCCTGTGGAGCAGCCCAGCTTAGGGGCCACAGCAAGAGTCAAGGGGATGGGCTATGGCAATGGATGAGCCTTGCATTCTGCATGTTGCCCGCCTTCCACTCAAAGCTGCCCGGGAGCAGATGCACAGGGACAGTCAGCGTTCATGCTGTATACTAGGGGCCATTTTCTAAAGATACCTCCTGGACCCCTGAAGGCACACACAGGCCTAGTCCTCTGGACAGTACACTCGGAGGCCACCCTGAGTCAGGCCCCAACCAGGACGCTATAGCTCACCTGACGTTGGCTTTGTCCACGCCCATCCCGAAACTAATGGTGGCAACAATTACAGGGACCTTCTCCTCCATCCACTCACTCTGCACCAGCGTCCTCTCAGTAGCCTTCAGCCCTGCATGAGACGGGGAGGACACAGAGGGAGCTCACTTTCTAGCAGGTGGACCTGGGTTCTACACAGTGCTAGGCACTACACATTCCGAGTTCACCCCTCACCAGCCGTGTGACCTCAGACCAGGCACTAGCCCTTTCTGAGCCTCAGCTAATCAACACGAGCCCCTAACCCCTACGTGGCCACAGGGGGCTCAACAAATAGGAGCCAAGCAACATCATCCCCATCCTCACAATAAGCCAAAGTAAACATTGCCCCGATGTTACAGAAAATGCAATAAAGGTTCGTGAGGCTAAGCAATTGCTCAAGGTCACACGGCTAGTCAGGGGCAGAGCCAGGGGTCATGCCCAGGTCCACTAGCCTCCAAGCCTGCGGTCTTCCTACAACACTGACGCCTGGGGTTATAAAAACGGCACTCGGCATGCCTCCCAGCACATCACAAAGAGCTAGGCACCACCACAACCCTGTGAGAGCCACGAGAGGCCCAGGAAAATCACTGCCAATGCGAGTCTTCAGCCTAATGAGACCCAAAGACTGCTAGTGGTGAGCGAGCTCTAGGTCCGTTCCACAAGGTGACATGTCAAGTGATGGGGAGTCGATTCCAACTCATAGCAGCCCTGTATGGTGTTTCCAAAGAGCGACTGGTGGGTTTGAACCATTGACCTTGTGGCCAATAGTCCAATGCTTATCCTACAACATTACATCAGGACTCCTCAAAAGTGATTATAGGTCAGAAAATATCCCTAATTCAGGGGGGCCATGGCTATTCCATAGGGGCGCTGAGCTTCTGTTAAAGGTGGTGGAGAGTCCAGGATGGTTGTGGTGAGGGCTGGGCATGAGGAACATGATTTCAGTGTCACAGAGCTGCACATGTAAAAGTGATGGAAATGGCAAACATGTGGCTGCCAATCTCCAAGAAAGCCCACTGCCACTGAGCAGATTTCAACTCAGACATCCTATACTGGGTTTCTGAGGCTGTAAGTCTTCACAGAAGTAGATAGTCTCATGTTTCTCCTGCGGAGCTGCCGACGTTGTAGGCCAGTGTTTCACCCACAGCGTCACTAGAACTCCTTTTTTGCTAACTGTATATTTACCACACAGAAAACCAAACTCATCCGCAGTTGCTGGGGTGAGCGGGAGGGGAAAGACTCAGGAGTACGATTCTCATTGTGGACCGTTCTTGCCTAGCTCCTTTCAGTGGCACTGAGTCACTCGAGCTCAGCCTGAGAATATGGAGCAAGCTAACGGGCCTTCCGATTATCCGGGATCCTGAATCAACACACCTGACTATCTGCTAGAGGCCTCTGAGAGTGAAGAGGCCTGGGAGGCCCTTACCTGCGTGGTAAGCCTTGGCACATACGCCCCGAGAGTTGAGCTCTATCGCCAGCTGTTCACAAGCCTCTCTGGTTCTGCAGTACACAATGCCGCAGCCTGAAAACTGGTTGGGGAGACCGGGAAGAAAATGAGCATTGGCTAGCACAGAAACAGCGACCCATTATAACACGAGCCAAACCAAAAGGCAAACTCGTTGTCACTGAATCCATTCCGACTCCTAATGACCCTACAGGACAAAGTGACCGCCCCCCAGGGTTTCTAAGGCAGTTACCCTTCTGTAGGCAGACCGCTGCCTCTTTCTCCCTGAGTAACTAGGGGGCTCAAATTGCCCTTCCCCCACTGCTCTGCCAAAGCACATTGTTATAGCGCTACCTGCCTAAAAAGACAGTAGACGTTTGTCCTCTAGTCAGCCTTAGGCGTGTCCTCTGAGGCAGGACACCAGGAGGGCTCTGCCACTTTCTAACAACACAGGGCCAAAGCAGCTCAAGGTGCAAACTATGACCTCTGCCTCCTGCCCTCAAACCCTCCACCAGTCTGCAAAGGTCCCATACAGGGGGGCCAGCTTGTCTTCCACAGGCGGAGCCAGGGCAAAGGAAGCCCAATAAAGGGGTCAATGCCAGGAGGCACAGGGCACAGTTCTCTGTACAAGAGATTTAGGAAGCTATGGCTAGTCCTGACTAAGGAAGCTGTTGTTGTTAAGTGCTGTTGAGTCGGTTCCAACTCATAGCTGCCAGGATAGAGTTTCTGAGGGGCAGCTAGTGGCTGTGAACTGCTGACGTTATGGTTCACAGTCGAGTGCTGATCCTACCGAGCCACACCAGGAGTCTACAGATAAGTCTGAGGAAACCAATATCATATCAATGTTACAGGTAGTACCCCATTACTCGAGATGCCCCCCAACCTCAGCGTCTCACCCCTGTGTCAGCTTTCCGTCTGAGAGACTTAAGGCAGAAGTCCTTGAGGTTCCCATAAGGATCAGAAAGCAGTTCCTTGAACTGCACATCATAGAAGAGGTTGGCCCGGAAGCAGGGAGTCTTAAAGGTGGCCACTGGTGACTTCAGGTGAAGGGCAGCAAACACATCCTCCTGGACCTGTGGGGTGGCTGTGGCAGTCAGAGCCACACATGGGGCATGTGACAGGCGAGAGCGCAGGGCGCCCAGACGCAAGTAGTCAGGACGGAAGTCGTGCCCCCACTGGGAAACGCAGTGCGCCTCATCTACCACCAAGTAGGAGAGCAGGTGGCGGGAGAGCAGGGAGCTGAGAGTGGGCTGGAAAGAGGCGGAGGCGGCCATCTCGGGAGTGACATACAGAAGCTTGGTCTTTGGCTTTTCTTGCTCCAGGTCAGAAAGCAGCTGGTTCCTCTCCTGTGCTGAGAGCTTCGAGTTCAGGGAGGCCACACAGACCTTTAGGGCCAGCAAATGGTCCACTTGGTCCTGAGAGCAGAAGAGGGACAGGTCACAGAGGGAAGGGTGACTGACCCTCAGAACTCAACAACAGAAGCCACTGGAGCCTCCGGACGTATGGTCCCGTTAGAAAACGCCCTCGGCACCCTCTCCGCTCCTCAGCAGGTCTCCTCTCGGAGTAAAAGGATTATAGAATGTGGCATGGCTACAGACAGCTCTAGAGTCCGCCACACCTATATTTATCCTGGTTCACTTCATTGTCACATGTGCATTGGCTGGTTCTAAATCTCTCAGAGGAGCCCAGGTGACACAATGATTAAGCACTTGGCTACTAACCTAATGACTGCAGTTTGAGCACACCATCTGCTCCAGAAAAGACTACTGTCTAGCTTAGATTAAGCAACCATTTGAGATCAAAAGGGTAGTAGCATTTACCCAATGACAAAATTCAGAAAGGTTAAGAAAGAAGGAGGAATGGAAACAGGAAACACAGGAAGTGGGATCAGCAATGTTGTAGTGTGGGGATTGCAAACAACGAGATGAAACAAAATGTGTATGGATTATTGAATGGAAAACTAATCTGCCCAGAAACTCTTCACCCAATTCACAATAAAATTTCAAAAAAGACTGTTGCTGTTTAGTGCTGTGGCGTCAGTTCTGACTCACACGGACCCTGTCTAGAGTTTACAAGGAGTGGCTTGTGGGTTTAAGCCGCCGACCTTGTGGTTCACGAGGCAGTTATCTTTTGTCATATAGGATCTCAGTGTGTCAGAGTCAACTCAGTGGCACACAACAACAGCAACAAAGCTCTGAAACGCAGCTTTCTCTTTCTTTTTACTATGGAGAATAAAAGCAGCAAACACGTAATAGGACTATTAGAAGGTTTAAATGAAATAGACATAAAACACTCAGCACATAGTCTATGATCTGGTAAACTGAGTATTTTTCTTGTTATCCTTGATCCTCATCTCCCAGCATTCACTGGTGGCCCTTAACTACAGTGTCACACTTCCTCAAGTCTGACGTTACCAATCCATCTGCCCATCTGCAGGCCTTCAAAATAGTCAGAAGTACAAGCAGCTGGTGCCAAGATGCTAGCTTTTTGTTCTCCTCTTTGTTTCTGACTCAAATATCTATACCTGTGCTAGGAGAAAAGCAGGCCATGAGGGGTTCTCCTTCTCAATTCAGCTGCCTGCCTAGCCCTGTATCTGCTAGCCCAGCATCGTGAGTACACATGTGTGCACATGTGAAAGTCGGTGTGCAGATACTATTCCAGCCTCTGGAGAAAGATTAATGAAAGAGTGTGGAGGACCTCAGACCATCAAAGCATAGAAGACTCATTCAGAAAACACCCATGTGACAGACAATAGTGGAGAACTGCACATCTGGGCAATTCAGAAAGCCAATAGAGAGAGGGAGGCAGACAATGAGACACAGTAAGAAACTACAGTTCAAATAAAGGAGAAGTGAAACCAGCAGCTGTAAAAAGCCTTTCCTTCGCCTTTTTTTTTGGCTAACGTCTCCTTCCCCCTAAGTCTCACCTGAATCAGAGCGATCAGAGGAGAGATGACAATGGTGATGCCTTTGGCCAACAAGGCAGGGAGCTGGTAGCAAAGGGATTTTCCTGCCCCGGTAGGCATGCACACAAAGACATCCCTGTCACCTGCAAAAACACAAGACAGCAATATCTCAATGCTACTTGCCTTTTCATGCATCAAATGTGTTTAAAATTAAAGAGAATTGTAATTTAGACACTCAACTAGCAGAATCCCTAGGAGAGTATAATATCCTCTTGCTATCTTTTCTGTGAAAGAGGCAGTAATCCTGGGAGATTTAGAACATACACAATTTAAACATAAATATAACCTCCTCTGAAAATGGTAATAACAACTACAAGGGACAAAAGTCTGAGTTTGCAGAGAAACTCATGACTGAACTAAATTGCCAGGAAAGCAGAATACTGCTTGATGAATACGCATCTCTATGCAGACATGGAAGCAGCACTTACAAAAACTCATTTATAAATGTTGTTGTTGTTGTTAAGTGCCATCAAGTCGATTCCGACCCATAGTGACCCTGTACAGGGTTTCCAAGGAGAGGCTGGTGAGCTTGAACCGCTTATCTTGCAGTTCAAATGGCTTTGCAGTCTGGTGGTTTAACCCACAGCGCCACACCAGGACTCTCCTTTATAAATTGTTGTTGTTGTTAAGTGCCATCGAGTCGGTTCCAACCCATAGCGACCCTGTACAGGGTTTCCGAGGGTGTAAATCTTTACGGGAGTAGAAAGCCTCATCTTTCTCCCGCGGAGCGGCTGGTAGTTTCAAACCGCTAACCTTAAGGTTTGCAGCCCGATTCGTAACCACTACGCTACCAGAGCTCCTTCTCCTTTATAAATAGATCACTCATATTAACGCTGGAGTCCTGGCGTGGCGCTGTGGGTTAATGCGCTGGACTGCAAAGTCGGTTTGAACCACAAAGTCGGCAGTTCAAGCTCACCAGCCACTCCTCGGAAACTCTATACAGGGTTGCTATGGGTTAGAACCGACTCAATAGTACCTAACAATAACAACTACACTAACACTAGGAGCCCTGGTGGCACAGTGCTTAAACACTTGCCTGTTAGCCAAAAGTCAGTAACTTGAACCCACCCACCTGCTCCAAGAAAGTATCAAGACTGTTGTTAAGTGCCATTGAGTTGGTTCCAACTCACAGAGACCCTACAAAGGGTTTCCGAGGAGCGACTGGTGGTGTGAACCACCAATTCTGCGGTTAGACTCCCCTGGAAAGATTCGAGCCTAGGAAACCCTATGGGACAGTTGGACTTTATCTTATAGGGCCACTCTGAATTGGAACTGACTCAATGACACAACCACAACATTAACACTCACACCCTCCTCTGGACACTTATCCCCATACGTCTGTTTTATAAAACTATCAATAGTACTTCTGTTCTCTTCTGGGGGCCAGGCCACTCGATCATCAGCAAGAGGATACCCACGTCAGTGACTCAACAGGGCTATTTGGCCATAGCTACTAATGCCTGGGAGGAGCTCTGGCAGTGTAGTGGTTACGAATCAGGCTGCGAATCTCACGGTCAGCAGTTCGAAACTACCAGCTGTTCCGTGGGAGAAAGATGAGGCTTTCTGTTCCTGTAAAGATTTACAGCCTCGGAAACCCTGTACAGGGTCACTATGAGTTGGAACCGACTCCCCGGTACTTAACATCAACTAATGCCTGGAAGCAGCTCTGGTAGCGTAGTGGTTACAAATTGGGCTGTGAACCTCAAGGTCAGCAGTTCAAAACTACCAGCTGTTCCACAGAGAAAGATGAGGCTTTCTGCTCCCGTAAAGATTTACAGCCTCAGAAACACTGTACAGTGTTGCTATAAGTCAGAACGCTGTGGATTAACCGTAAGGTCAGCAATTCAAGCTCACCAGCTGCTCTTAGGAAACCCTATACAGGGTCACTAGGGGTTGGAAACGACTCAACGGCACTTAACAACAACAACCAATGCTTATGAAGAAACCCTGGTGGCATAGTGGGTTATACGTTAGGCTGCTAACACTAAGGTCAGCAGTATGAATCCAATCCTTGGGAGAATGAGGCTTTCTGCTCCCATAAAGATTTACAACCTCAGAAACCCTATGCAGGGTCTCTATGAATTGGAACTGACTCGATGGCATACCACCACCACCGCCTACACGCAAATGAAGAATGGGAATCAATGAACCGTTTCCAAAGACAATCTGTAGCTCTTTGAGATTTAAGAACCAAAACACCTGGGTGGTTCTGCCATTAAACTTGACAAGCCAGTTAGGACTCCAGGGTAGGGAGGCAGGAAAGGTCCGGAGGTGGGTGCTCTTTACAGCCAGTGTAAATGGAAACACAGGCAGCTCAGCAATGTTACCTTTCACTACAGCCATGGTCGCACTCTCCTGTAAAGGTGTCTTAAAAGAGTCAAACCCAAAGACCTTCTTCAGCGTGCTCCGGACTCGACGCTCTGGGTCAAAGGGAAAGGAGGCCCGACGGGTGCTCATCTTAGCGAGACAGTGGCCAAAAGTTAAGGCAAAGGCGATGATCAGAGGATTGCCACAACAACCCTGTGATGCTATTTTTCTGCGTCTCAACTTGCTTTAGTACAAGTTAAGGGGCTATGGTGTTGCAGTGGTTAAAGCGCTCCGCTGCCCAGCGAAAGGCTAGTGGATTTAACCCACCCGCTGCAAAATGGAAGATTTACAGCCTTGGAAACCCTATAGGCAGTTCTACTGGGTTCTACAGCGTCGCTATGAGTTGGAATGCAATGGGCAGCGATGCAAGTGATACAGCTGAGGGTGATTTATACCCCCCCAGTACAGTAATTAACATCTCCACTTTTATGCTCTGTGAAAATAAAAATAAGTGGACCATCCCGGACCACGGTGTACCACAGAGCTAGAAGAAACACAGATGTCTTCGGCAAAATTTGGAGACAGTAGGCATTCTCTCTAAGAGTCACTTTCTGCTCCGCCTTTTGTAAGCACAGCCATGAAGACCATCTTCTCCCGATAACCCGCATCTCCTCCTCCCACCCCTCAAAGGAGAGCTCTTCCCTCTGCCTCCTCGGAGCTCCAGATTCGCTCTTTTCCCTTCTCCAATCGAAGCTTCCTTCCCCTCATCCCAAGATATCAGCGCCGGGAATGGGTCGCCCGGGAACGAAGTGGTCTTGCCGGGCCGCTGCTACCCGCAGACTCGGGAACTACTCGCAGACATACATATGTTAACCCTAATTCTGAGAAGTCAAACGACAGGGAATTCAAAGTGCAGCAGCCCACCACACAACCTCGTATCCGTCGCACAGTGATGACGCAAAGAGAGCGTTGGCGCGAGGGGCAGGACCAGGACCAGAAAAAGTCTTTTTGATTGGTTCCCGGGTCTGCAATAGGCGCGAGGTCTCCTGGGATCCGGAAGAAGTTCTTTTTACAGACGGAAGTCGGCTTCTTTGAGTCAAATAAGTGAGCCACGCTGGGGCTGTGGGGATAAAATGGCGGGGAAGAAGAATGTTTTGTCGTCTCTGGCTGTTTACGCGGAGGATTCAGAGCCCGAGTCTGACGGTGAAGGTGGAGTCGAAACGACTGGCAGCGCGACTGGTGAGGCCTGACTAGAGAGTTGGGAGGGGAGGCTCGTGTCTGCCCGAAATGATGCTATTTTTGCGGGTGGAGGGAAATAGATGGTCTTTATGCCCCAACTATCGGACCCTGGAGTCCCAAACAGCGGACGTATTCCTGTGCCGAAACTTAAGTCTCTTGACAGACATCGTAAATAGCAGAGGGGTGAAAGGAAAATGAAAGAGCGATCCAAGGCTACTGAACCACTTCTTATTCCCTCTAGGCTCGTTGTTTGATGGGAGAAAGCCAGGAGTAAACATACATTTTGTTGTTGTTAAGTGCCGTCGTGTCAGTTCCGACCCATAGCGACCCTGTATATGAAGGGTGGTAAAAGTTGTCTTATTAAGTTTGTAACTTTTAAGTAGGAATGAGCCCCATCGCGTCTTGTAATTTTAAATGCATCTGGTCTCCCCTGCAGAGTCCGAGTCTGTAGCTCTGGGGGAGGGTCTGGGTATTTGTGATTCTCTTGCTTTGTGATTTCTTTGAATCCCAGCAGTGATTTTGTTGCCCTGTCCAGGCTGAGAGTCACAGTATTAGTAAATGGAAGCAGACTTTTTCTGGGAGCTAATGAGCAAATTGCCTACCATATCTGACCCTTGATGTCCTAGTCTGGAAAGGGAGTGGTGGCAGTTGTGTGCCACCAAGTCAGTTCCGATTCATGGTGACCCCTTTGGGTTCACAGAAGCTGTAATTCTTTACCAAAGCAGAAAACCTCATTTTTCTCCCACAGAACCATAATAGATGCAAACTATTGACCTTGTGGTTAGCAACCCAGCTTGCAATCCATTATAGTACCAGGGCTCCTTTGGGAAGTGGAGAGGGTTGAAATAAGTTGTTGGTGTCCATGGAGTTTGCTCCAACTCATGGGGAACTTACGTATAACAGAATTAAGCTTTATCCAGACCATAACCATCTTCATAATCTTTGATATTTGTGAGTCCATTGTGAAATAGATTAGCCCTTGCGCATTCCAGTCAAGATGGTTTCACAGTAAATATGTAGAATTTGCCTTGTTAGTGTTGTTGTTCATTGCTGTCAAGTCAGTTTTGACTCAGCCATCCTGTATAGGGTTTCCAAGGAGCGGCTGGTGGATTTGAACTACTGACTCTGCAGTTAGCACTCCAGTGTTTATTCTGCAGCACCACACCAGGATTCCTGTCTCATTATAAACAGAAAACAATTTTGCTTCTCTCTAGGTGTGATTGGAATGTCCCATGGTCAAAGTTCTGTTCCTGGGGAGGACACACAGAATTGAGGAAGCCAGAGAGTCTCTGACATGTAAGAAAGACAAGTTCACAGGTGTCTGCTGCTGTACATGTCAAAGAAGGTGTTCAAGCAATGTGCTGTAATAGTTCAAAGAAAGGAACACATCAGCTGTCATAATAGATGGGGCTGAAAGCATTAAACACATTCATATTTAGTACTTGGATTTTCTCCTCTCTGCTTTTATTGATTTCATCCAGTAAATTGTGGCCTTCCGATTTAATTAGTCTCCCCTGTTATTTTCAGAAGGATCCCTTGTGATGCTGTAGGTTAAGCATTGGACTGGATTATTAACTGAAAGGTTGGCAGTTTGTACTAAACAGCTGTTCTGAGGGGAGAAAGATGAGGCAGTTGGTTTCTGTAATGATTTATAGCCATGAAAACTTCATAGAGCAGTTCTACTCTGTTCTATAGGGTCGCTGTGAATTGAAATTGACCAGGGTGAGTGTTCTCTTTAGAGATCATCCTGGCCACTCAAGTCCTTGGAATCTTTTCTTGCATTTTTTTCCCATTCATTTTTCTCTTTTCCTCTGTTTCAGAAGAGAAAGGCGGGTTAGTATCTAAAGCCTATGGAGAAGATGATTTTTCTCGCCTTGGGGGTGATGAAGATGGTTTTGAAGAAGATGATGATGAAAACAGCAAGCCATCGGTACGTAACACTCTCTCCACATCCAGAGCTGCTCAAAGAACCATTTATCAGAAGTGTTGTGAACTGTACTCACAAGTGTTCCGTTTCATGGCTAACTTCATCCTCCCCTTCTCACCTCCCACCCACACATAATCTTTGGTATCAGTTGAAGGAACTGGATTATATGTCAGTAGTTCTATTTGATAATCAAATACATTTTCACCTGGACGATTTTGAATTCATCTTTGACTTGAAATTGAGAGGAAAAGGTAGTAGCCTGTATTCTATTTAACCTAGGTATCAATGGATGCTTTGTGTTGGTTTTCCCTGTTTAGATCATTTGTTTCATTTGCAACCGTGCATTTATCCTAATTAGGATGTCATTTATGTCTGCAATCAATGTAATTATTTTTAATGTTAGTTGGGGCTCATTGAAATCTTCCAGTTTATCCGTAAGGTTAAAAAAGAAGAGTATTTTGTGTTCACCCACCTTGATCTTCTCTTCATCTTCATGGCATTTTCCTTGACACTTTTTATCAGGGTGCCCTTGATTGTTGATCACAGGGCTTACCTGAAGTTTAGTCCACGCTGGCTAACAAAGAAAGGAGAACTGATGTCTTTATTAGCAAGAAAGATTTTAGATAACACAATTACTAGAGCAACATGAGCCAGAATTTGAAAGTTTGGAGAAAAAGCAAGATAATCTCAGGCTGGTGCTTTTAGCAAAAAGACAGACAAAGCTGTGGAATGTAGTTATTGAATCTGGCTGCTTAGCAGCACCTTTCATGAAGACACAATGTTATTAGTTTGAATATACTGTAGTATATTGATACATAAGTGTTAGTGTTCTAGTGCTTTCTGAATAATAAAGAAAATAATGTGCTTTATATTTTATGTTCTTTTGGGAGATAGTTTCAATTCCACCCATTAGTACCAATCATTCTAAATGGGCTCAAATTGTTTAGAAATACTTTATAAGTCATTTTATCCTCCTGGTTTTTTTTAGGCCCATAAAGATTTAACATCCATAACTATTTTTTTCCTAAGAAATTAAAGTGTTGGTCCATATTTGCTTTGCTTAGAATTTTCCTCATGTTTAAGCTTTATTTCATGGTTTAGTGAAATCTATTTGTCAAATACAATACATTCTAAGACATGACTATCTTTGGCTGAGCTCCATTTTAAGGAGATTATGGAGATTGTATTTACGACCTTTTAGCTCACCAGCACCTTCAGTGACAGTCTTGTTCAAATCTCTTATGTGGTATTTATATTAGCACCTAGAGTGATATTTAATACTTGAGTTAAAGTGTAGTTGAACTGAAAATAGCAGTTTCAAATGGCACTTCATTTTTCCTGGGTGTTTCATTAAAGGCTCCTTGCCAGGCACTGGCAGAGTTCTGGCTAGCAGGGTGGCTAGTCCAGCTTCTGCACCTGTCCTTCCATGTTCATAGCACTGGCATTAGTGATCAGTGGAGGAGTGGACCCTGGTGGTGCTGGGATTAAAATACCCAGCTGCTTCCCAGGTTGGCAGTTCAATCCACCAGCCACGCTATGAGAGAAAAATGTGGGAGTCTGCTTCTGTAAAAATTACGACCTCGGAAGGCTTGTGGGGCATTCTACGCTGTCCATAGGCCCGTCATGAGTTGAACTTTGCATTAAGTGGCAGTGGGTTGGCTCTGGGTGTTTTTGGAGTGGTGGGCCTGCGTGTGGAGAAAGCCTTGTCCACACGGTGCCTGGTGTCCAGCAGGACTCAGTAGGGAAAGGAACAAATCTGGATAGGATCATCAGTGACAGTTCTGTCAGCATGTGGTTGGAGGATTGTTGTTGTTAAGTACCGTGGAATTGGTTCCGACCCATAGTGACCCTGCACAGGATTTCCGAGGCTTCAAATCTTTACGGGAGCAGAAAGCCTGATCTTTCTCGCCCGGTGGATGGAGGGTTGTTGTTGTTTTTGTTAGGTGCCATCAATTGGTACCGACCCATAGCGACCTTATGCACAGCAGAACGAAACACTGCCCTTTCCTGGGCCAACCTCTCTACTGTTGCCACGCTTTAGTCCATCGATGCTTCCACTTGGCCATTCCATCTCATTGGGGGTCTTCCTCTTTTTATCTGACCCTCCACCTTACCAAACATGATATCCTTCTCCAGTGACTGGTCCCTCCTGACAACATGTCCAAAATATGAGAGACGAAGTTTGGCCATCTTGGCCTCCAGGGAGCACTCTGGCTGCACTTCTTCCAAAACGGGTCTATTGGTTCTTTTGGCAGCCCATGAAACCTTCAGTATTCTCCTCCAGCATCATAACTCAAAAGTATCAATTCTTCTACTGTCTTCCTAATTTAATGTCCAGCTTTCACTTGCATATGTGGTGGTGGTGGTGGTGTGCTTTGGAGTTGGTTCCTACTCACAGCGACCCTGTACAGGGTTTCCGAGGCTGTAGGTCTTTACAGAAGCAGAACGCCTCATCTTTCTTCCGCGGAATGGCTGGTAGTTTTGAACTGCTGACCTTGCAGTTCGCAGCCCTATTTGTAACCACTACGCTACCAGAGCTCCTTTATATGAGGTTATTGAAAATACCATGGCTTGGATCAGGCACACCTTAGTCTTTAAGCTGACATCTTTGCTCTTCAACACTTTAAAAAGGTCTTGTGCAGCAGATTTGCCTAGTGCAATACGTCCTTTGATTTCTTGACTGCTGCTTCCGTGAGTGTTGATAGTTGATCCAAGAATGAAGTCCTTGACGACGTCAATCTTTTCACCATTGATAAGAATGCTGTTTATTGGTCCAGAGGTGAGGATTTTTGTTTCCTTTACCATACCAAAGGCTGTGCTCTTTGATCTTCATCAGTACATGTTTTAAGTCCTCTTCACTTTCAGCAGGCAAGGTTGTATCATCTGCATATCACAGGTTGTTAACGAGTCTTCCTCCAATCCTCATGCAATGTTTTTCTTCATAGAACCCAGCTTCTCGGATTATTTGCTCAGCATACAGGTTGAATAGGTATGGTGACAGAATACAACCTTGTCCCACACCTTTCCCAATTTTAAACCATTCAGTATTTGTTCCCATATTCTGTTGGAACAACTGCCTCTTGGTCCAGGTACAGATTCCTCATGAGCACAATTAAGTGTTCTGGAATACTCATACTTCACAATATTGTCAATAGCCTGTCATGATCCACACAATCGAAAGCCTTTGCATAGTCAGTAAAGCACAGGTAAACATCTTTCTGATATTCTCTGCTCTCAGCCAAGATCCATCGGACATCAGCAATGATATCCCTCGTTCCACAGCCTCTTCTGAATCGGCTTGGACCTCTGGAAGCTCTCTGTCAATGTATGGTTGCAGTTGTTTTTGTATTACCTTTAGTAAAACTTTAAAGATTTCAATTTTTATTCCATCAATTCCTGGTGCCTTGTTCTTTGACAATTCCTTCAATGCACCTTGGACTTCCTCCTTCAGTATCATTGACTCTTGATCATATGCTACCTCTTGTAATGCTGAACAGTAACCATTTCCCTGTGTTGACTTTCAGATCTTTTCTCCTTCTGTTTCCCAAACTTCAGGTCATAGGGGCGGGGTGACTCAGGCCACAGAGCTGGACTCAATGCTTGGACCCTAATTAATGTGTATGAGAGTGCTCAGTCCACTTCATTAAGCTTAATCCTGTCCATTTTTGTCCTGCAGGAAGATGACGATTCAGAGACTGAGAAACCTGAGGCTGATGACCCAAAGGTATTGATTTGGTTTTGGTGGCGGTGGGTGATTGGATGTAAACAAGACGTTTTAATATTATGGCTCAGTGTCTATGTCTGATCAAGGTTTGTTCCACTAACACTGTGCAACCCTGTGTACGTTTTCTGGGATAAAACAAGCTTTGATTTTAGAGAATTTGATATATCTTGATTGGGGTTTGTTCAGTTTCTTGTATGCCTATCTTCTCATCTTCCATGCTTTTTTTTTTTTTTTTTTTTAAATGTTTTATTGTGAATTGTGTGATAATTTACATGGGAGAACTTTATCATTTATCATTTCACTGCCATAATTACAATTCCCTCCATGCATCATCAAACAACCAAAGGGTACACACTACAAGCCTGCCCCTCTGTCGTCAGCACACAGACCCTCTCCCTTTCTGGGTTTAGAGTCGCCAGCCACTCCATCTCCCCATATCATCATCTCTGCCTCCATCTCTGGCGTCACTGTTTCTCTGGGTCCCGCACTCCACTTTTCTCCCTTGATGGTCCCAGGGACCTCCGCTCCTGGACTGCAAAATCAACTAGTCCCCTCGTTTTGCTACAAAAGGTCTACCTTTACATTTCCTACCCTCACAGTCAGTCCTGATAGCAGTTATTCACTGTTGTATCACATGAGTGTTGTCCCCACCTCCTTTCATCAGTCCCGCCCAGACAGATTGTATACGACTCAGCAGAGCGTACAGGATCCAGGCTCACTCTTTTTGTGTTTGTTTGTTTGTTTTTGTTTTATTGTGAATTATGTGATAGTTGACATGGGAGAACATTCATTTTACATTCATCTTATCTTATATCGTTTCATTGACATGGTTACAATCCCCTCCATGCATCATCAACCAACCAAAGGGTGTACCCTGCAAGCCTGCCCCCAGGTCGTCAGCACACAGTCCCTCTCCCTCTCTGTGTCTAAAGTCCCCAACTGCTCCATCTCTCCACGTCATCATCTCTGCCTCCTTCTCTGGCGTCACTGCTTCTATGGGTAGGGTCCCACTCTCCGATTTCCAACCGTAGCAAGCAGTCCTGATAACAGTTATTCACTATTGTATCATAAGAGACCTATCCGCATTTCATTTCATCAGCCCCGCCTAGACAGATTGGATACTACTCAGTGGAGATTCTACATTCCTTCACACCCTCTGAATCTAGATTCCCTCTTGAAAGCTTGTAAGCCCCACCCCACCCCCATTTTGGGTAGCCAGTGTCCAAGTTGCCCATCCTTGTCTACTTTGTATGGAGGGGGCGGGAATGGTCCTTGCTGTAAGGATTTGTTTCCTCTTTTGAGCTACTGCATCCATAGGTGTAGGTCAAGTTCATCAAATTATATCGGATTATTCTTTTTTTCCTCTTCTTTCTTCTGGTTGAGCTCTGATCATCCAGTCATTGAAGCCAGGTCAAGTGGGTATTATCTGCAAGTGTGGGTGTTCTTGTGCATATGCCCTTAATTCTTATCAGCTGGACGGACGCTTCCCTCTCCTCTAGTCCTCTGTGGCTATTTCACTGATTTTGGGCCCAGGAGTCCCCAGGTCTTGCCATACTGCTGGCCAACCAGGTCTCCACCTGGGTTCATAGGAGTCTGTTGAACATTGTAGGACTTAGCTTGCAACTTCATTGTTTTTTCCTCATTTCCTCTTATTGGTGACCAACGTGATCACCAGTCAGACTGCATGTCTACTTGTGTATTCCCATTGAGTCTTTGTCTTGGAAGGGGTTTGCCCTGAGGGGACCCACCCACTTGCCTTGATGTCTCCTGGGTGAGCAACTTGTGTGTTCTTATAGTAATCAGTTGGATTGCTTTCATTGTTTTGTATTTTCCCTGTTGGTCTTTCTTCCAAGAAGTATCTTCTGTTCTTATAGCCAGCGGCTCCAGGCTGGTCTGCCCGTCCTTTCAAGTGGAAATTTCCTACCTCAGATGATTCTGGGTGGGGTTCAGAATTCCACCTATGGTCTTATGTAATGTAGAGGCACCACAGGAAGCCTCCTTCACTGGGCACATTGTAGCCCCATTTTAGGTATTCCAATCAGTTATAGGCAGAAGATGGACTTACAAGCTTTCTGGCTATTCCTATCTCTCCCCCTCAAGTGTCTATTTTATAAAGGTATGCAAGGGAAACCAAGATTCAAAAGACAGCCAGAGACCCTTAAAGGGAGAGGGGCTGTGTGCTGAGAACCAGGGGGCAGGCATGCAGAGTATATACCCTTTGGTTGGTTGATGATGCATGGAGGGGATTGTAACCATGGCAATGAAACGATATACTGTAGGATGAATGTAAAGGTAATTTTCTCCCATGTAAACTATCACATAATTCACAATAAAACATTAAAAAAAAAGACATCCAAGCATCTTAACATTATTTTCCCCCCTTTACCCATTCAAACCATGTTTCAATCTCTGTATCAGCCCTGTTGTTCCAAGGTTGTACATACATCATTATTTACCTCTGTCCCACTTAGCCCATGCAAACCTGCCTAACTGTCCTCTCATCTGCCTTTTTCTTCCATTTCCCCTCCCCCTTCTTGTTTATTGCCCCCCTCCCCAGCACCCAAACTATCCTGTGTCTATTCCCTGCCCTGTGCCGCCCCCCCCCCAAACACACACACACTTAGTCTGGGTTCTTTTTCTTAGTCTTTTACTTTTTCATGCTTTTTATTGTCTCTTCTTTTTCTGGAATTCTAATTACTCCTAAGTTGTTCCTCTTCATGGTATTCCACGTAATTGTTAGACTTTCTTCAGAGTTTTTCATTCTTTTTTTCTGATTGCCCTTCTAGCATACTAGTATTGAGAGATTTATCTTCCTGCTCATTAATTTGGGCTTCCCTTGCTTTGAATTTTCTCCTTTACCGTTTTCATTGTATCATCCATTCCCAAGATTTTAGTACTGATATTCTGGCTATCTAATTGTGTGGGTCTTGTAATATTCCAAAATTTGTATTTATTTTGTTTGTTTGTTCTTGTAGCGTTTTCCTGAATCCTTCTAAAAGTTTTCCTGTGTTCTTGCTTTCCTCCATTTTTCTGTCAATCCTTTGAAAGTACCAAAATATCATTCTTTTGAATTTGTTTTCAGTTAGTTATTCCTCAGAAATGTTTTCTCTCTCTACATCTAGGTTATTTATTTGAGTCATTCTCTCTTGTTTCTTCATGTGAGCTAAAATTGTCAGTTTTCTCCAGGGTATTGTGGGGACAAATATTTTTTGTAAAAACAGACAGTGAAGCCATTAGAGAGATGCAAATCAAAACAACAATGAGATATCATCTCACACCAGCAATAACAGAAAAGATCAAAAAAGTAGAGGACAATAAATGCTGGCAGGGATGTGGAGAGACTGGGACACTCCTGCTTTGCTGGTAGGATTGCAAAATGGTCCAACCTCTCTGGAAAGCAATATGGCGTTTCCTCAGAAGGTTGAAAATAGAAATACCTTTTGATCCAGCAATTCCTCTACTTGGTATTTACCCACAAGAAATATGATCCATAACACGTGTATATATATATGCACACCAATGTTTATAGCAGCTCTATTTACAATAGGAAAAAGATGGAGACGGCCAAAGTACCCATCTGCTGAAGAATGGCTAAACTGTGGTACATATACACGGTGGAATATTATGCTACCTTGAAGAATAAAAAGGAAGTTGCAAGCCACCATATAATATGGATGAATCTTGAGGATATTATGTTGAGTGAAATCAGTCAGTCACAAAAGAAGAAATACTGCATAGGACCACTACTGTAAAAGACTAAGAAAAAGAACCCATACTAAAGGGGGGTAGGATTCTTTGCTGGTTGCTGGGATGTGAAGGGGTGGTGGGGGATGAGGGGAAGGTGGAGCACAGGGCAGGGAATAGACACAGGATAGTTTGGGTGCTGGGGGGGGGGCAATATACAAGAAGGAGGAGGGGAATGGAAGAACAAAGTGGATGGGAGAACAATTAGGCAGGTTTGCATGGGCTAAGTGGGACAGAGGTAAAGAATGATGTATGCACAACCTTGGAACAACAGGGCTCTGGGATACAGGGATTGAGATATTGTTGGAATGGGGAACAGGGGGGAAATAATGTTAAGATGCTTGGCTGTCTTTTGAATCTTGGTTTCCCTTGCAATTACATTTTAAATAGACACTTGAGGGGGAGAGAAAGGAATAGCCAGGAATGTCACCATAGAAAGCTTGTAAGTCTGTCTTCTGCCTGTAACTGATTGGAATACCTAAAAAGCAGCTACATTGTGCCCAATGAAGGAGGCTTCCTGCGGAACCTCTGCATTACAAAAGATTATAGGTGGAATCCTGAACAGCACCCAGAATCTTCAGAGCAGAGGTGGGAAATTTCCACTTGAAAGGACGGGCAGACCAGCCTGGAACCGCCCAGAAAATACTTCTTGGAAGAAGGACCCGACAGGAAAAATACAAAACGATATAGGCAGACCGACAGATGACTACAAGAATATGGAAGTTGCTCGCCCAAGAGACATCAAGGTAAGTGTCAGGTCCCCTCAGGGCAAACCCTCTTCCAAGACTGAGACTCAATGGGAATACACGCTCTGATTGGTGACCACGTTCGTCACTGATAAGGGAAAGAAGAAAAAACAGCAATGAAGCTGCGAGCTAAGCCTTACAACATTCAATAGACTCCTGTGGACCCAGGTAGAGACCTGGTTGGCCAGCAGTGTGGCAAGACCTGGGGACTCATGGTGCCAGAGTCAGTGACATAGCCACAGAGGACTAGAGTGGAGAGTGAAGTGTCCAGCTGATAAGAAGAGAGTGAATATGCACAAGAACACTCACACTTGCAGATAATACCCACTTGACCTGGCTTCAGTGACTGGATGATCAGAGCTCAACCAGAAGAAGAAAGAAGAGGAAAAAAGAGTAATCTGATACAATTTGATGAACTAGACCTACAGCTATGGATGCAATAGCTCAAAAGAGGGAACAGGTCTTTACTGCAAGGATCATTCCCACCCCCTCCATACGGAGTAGACAGGG